ATTGGCGTAACTGTGCAAAATTTAGTACCTCAGGTGGCTCGCACTTCTGAGCTCAAACAATATTAATTTCCTAACCAACTGGTTCGTCTACCCAAATAGTATTTTCGATGCATTTGTCAACATTTGTAAGATTTGACAGCGCCCGCCCTCTGACATTGCCTTTGGCAATGTTTTCACTCCCTTTGCGCATTCATACAAACATTCACCCCAATGACATTGACAGCTATCGATCCTTTTGGAACTCTGAACCCGTACCGGCAAAAGAGTCGGCCTTACGTGTAATTAATAACATGTACACACAACAACTGAGCCAGAGCACTTATCGCAGTGTAACGCCGAGTTTAGATGATGCGTGAGATTATAGACGAAGGTGTGAAAGAACCACACACTTTGCCATTTGCTGGGCACGGGATATGTTCACATATGGTGTGTGGTTTTTGTGTGCCTTTGCAAATAAAAATAACTGAGTTTATTTCAATTCTGAGAAAATAGCCAAAGTTCAACAGTAACAATGTTCTAGTCAGGAGTGTTTGACTAGGAGATCCCGAATCCAACACCAAATTGCCGCTACAAACATTCTAGCTTCTTTTAATATATTCATATGCTTCTTCTTCCCTTTGCCACAGTACACAGGGACTAAATTCTTGATTCTTCTTAAATATAGCTTGAATATGTGTGTAAAAGCCTAAGCAGAAGGAGGAAAGTAACATACATAATTTGGGTTGGGCTTAAAAAATAGGTTTTCATTTTTAAAGATAGAATTTTGTGTTTTGGCATAAAGATCGCAAACTCCAAAGTTAATCTGCATTTCCCGTGCATATTGTTGTGGAATGTGTAAGAATAAGCTACTACACAAGGCATGCAGGAACAACATTTTATGTCCTGAGTTTTGTAAAAATCAGAATGATGCAAATAAATATTATCAACACGTAGAAAACAAGCCCCGCATACGGCAGCTGCATAGATAATTATGGAAAAGCACTACCAAACCTATAATAAAGGTAACGCCATCAAAAAAAAATAACATACCCACACACATCATATTTTAAAGATCATGGGCACTGGCATATCGAATTTCGAGCAGATTTCAATTTGTTTTTATATGCCTCCGGTGACGACATGGACTCCAGCATGTTATGGGCATAATGCTGTCAGCCCATATTTCTCAACCAGAAGATCACAAACAAAGGGGTGTTTGCCCTGCCCTCCTCGGCAAAGTCCTGCCCATATTCAGCACAGCTGGGGGTGTTTTTGTGGCGGCTGCGGAATGGCTGCCGTGAATAAAGCGATTTGTCTTCTTTGTTGTTTACGTTTGGTGTTATAAATTATGCGTTGGCTTTTCGCCCAGAACGTACGTCGCCCGTCGTAGACATATCTAAAATTGTCCAAAAATTATTTGTGCATAACAGGGATAATCATAAATCTAGCTAATTGCACTTTATTGGGGTCTTTCGCATAAGCCGTCATCTCTCGGTGGTGGGCCCGTATCAATCTTAGGGGTAAAATTGAATTTGACATGCCGCTCATAGGCATTAAATCAGAGCATTTTTATAGTCCGCCAAACGGACAACATATAAATTTTCAGCTTTTTGACGATGCTGTGTCATTTGATAAGGTTAATGAGTTTATGCCACTGGCTCTCTTATTTCCAGAGGATATTGAAGTGCAGCTACTTTCCTCAAAAAGGGAATGGTTTTAGATTCTACAATTTACATATTTCGTACGAGTAGATTCCAACAGTTAGTCCAACTTATAAAGAGCTATTAACGAAGATAGATGGGATTTGAAACTCGACCCATCTAATTTATTTATAATTATTTTCGAACCTTTTTCAAACCTTTAAACGATACACAGGTTATAAACACTGATTAAGTATTAAGTATATGCACAATATGTGATGCGTTTGTACACCCTCGTTTTTGGAATTCCATATAAGTGACACGTTATAATCCACACATACTCGGGATTAACACAATCCTCACATATGCCCACGTGAAAAATGCATTACACTTGGTCCCAGTCGTCGACACATAAGTAATTAGCTAAAAATGTGAGGAGTGGAGCTAAAGTGAATGTGCATTCACACTGCAACTGAAGAGGCATTTCCAATTCATTTCCATTTTCATGCTGCAGTGTCTTTTCGATAGCGGTAGCTGTTGAAAGGCAACTCTCAAATGGCGGGACCCGGTCCCAGATTTTATTCAAATGAATTTGAAAATCGAAATGAGCATGCTCCGGTATTTTTGTGTGTGTAGGTACACGGCTTTTGATCTTTGTTGCGTTTGTTTGTATACAATTTGATGGCTCGTGTTGATGGATCGTAAACGTGAAATGATGTTCGCGATGCCGCCTCCGATGCGATGCCTCTTCCCCAGTACCTCAGCTGATGGCGATGACGATGACGATGATCAACGCAACGATGACGGCACAAAGTGTCTTTGATCATTTGCCGCGCCAGTTGGCAGTCAAAATGTTAATTTATGCGTTGCTCCCACCTACACATGCCCAGCTCAGCAGCATTAACAACTTTACAAACATGTTTGAGGTTTTTATTACGGTGTGAAAATGCTCGATTGTTCCGTAAAATAAAAAAGGATCAAACAAGTTTACGGGTGGGCAGTCGGGCAACCAAGCAATCGGCCCCAGCCACGGCAATGCCGATGCCGATGCCAATTCAGATGCCGAGATCAACACCAATGCCAATACCCATGTCCATAGAAATGGCTATGAGTCTCTCGGGTGATTGATGCACCGTGCGCACCAAAACAACAAGATCGACCGACTATATCGCCAATAAGGTGGAAACAACAACAGATCTTCATTATGATCAAGTTGTCGGTGAATTTTTATTGTTGGGTATCGATCAAACCACTTGACGGCTGATCAAAGCTACAGGAACTTACAGTTTGCGTATTTTATACGATTTAATTCATTAATCAGTAAGTTTTTCAAAATGTTTTCGCTGGTTTTCAACATTGATATTTTCAAATCGAATATTTTTATACCCTGTGCCCATTTCAAATAAGTAAGTTCCAGACTTTTCGGATAATTCATTCCAACTTGGTATAAATGGTGGCAACGATTTGCTTTTTACGCAGAATTAATTCTTTTTTATTTTCGCACCAAACTGAAGGCAAATCCATTTTATAGCTAGACACCGTGAATTGATATGTAGACACACAATTGAAATCCATATTTAAAGAAGTCCTGTACATTTATTTGAAATGCACAGTATAAGTTGGAAGATGCGAAACAAAGTGCTTCCCAGCTAACAAATCTGTTCGGCAATTGTCAGCCCAAGACGGTAATAAAACAAAGTTTTCTTGAATTTTGCGAAATGAAAATGCCAGGCCGAGATCAAATGCTCAACATAAACACTATCACACGTATGGACATGGATGTTAAAGCGTGGAGGACAATAACAAGCTGTGCGGATGTTTGGTTGCCCGGTTGGTTGTCTGATTGGCCTGCCACAAGAGTGCAAGCAGCAAAAAGAAACATTTGTCTCGCTTAATTTAAACAGATTTGCGAGATTATTGTCATGCCAACGTTAAAGCAACAATTTCAATTTTGCCGCTGCAGCAAAAAGTGACAACAACAATAACCACAACCCGCTGTGCCAGCTGACACACTGCGAGAGACAGGAGCGAATTAACAACCTCAATCTCAACTTCCAACTCCAACTCCAGCTCCAGCTCCAACTCCGATTCCGTGGCGGGGGCTTGAAAAGAAAGAAAGTTGCAGTCAACAAGGAGAACGATGCAAACGCATGCGAATCTTGACAGCCGGCAACTTTTAATGTTGCCCCAAGAAAGCAGCAGCAAACAAAAAGCAGAGGCCAAGCCCAGAGCACATAATAAAAGATGCCAACGCGACGGCAGGCAGGCAGGCAGGCAGGAAGGCAGGCAGCTCAGCTCCTCCGATTCCGAGTGGGCTGTTTGATGGCAGAACAAATTTTGCAATGTCGCTGTGATTTTGCGCCAGCGTGACAGACACTTGCGCTCTCCTCAGGCCGCCGGAATGCACACAAGCCATATTTAAAATGCTTTGAAGTTCCACCGCCTCCAGCTCCAGCTCCAACTTTAACTGCAACTGGAACTCTAGTCAAACTGCAAGGCGTCGCCTTAGAGACGGGCGCGAAACGACTTATGTTGAATGGTTGTCCGTTTGACACGATCAGAGCAGGCTCGCTATCTCAAGGCCCAACTGCAGTAACACATGTCCAGTTTTAATTGCTGCCATCAATGAATGAATCAGCTAACGTTCGCCTGACAGCTGACTGCCGCCCGACAACTTGACTGCCCGACTAGCTGTTTAGCTAACTGCCAACCAGCTACTCATTTCCGGAAGTTAAAATATTCGTAGCTTATCTCTATCGCAGCTGTGTTGTTGCTGCTGCTGTTGCTGCTGCAAAGTCATTAGACTCTGTCACTCTGTCACTCTGTCAGTCAACTCTGTGACTGCCAAGCCAGCCGCAGATAGTCGAGCTTTAAAGGCAGACATTTGATCTCTGCTGTCAACTAGACTCACGTCAAACTGTTTGGACAAGCTGTTCGAGTACATAATGTCAAACAGATGCAATACAATAGCAACCGAAACGCGTCCAAGTGAATTTGTTAGCAATATGCAACGCATAATGAATGTAACAATAGAAAGTGGATAATGTTAGTAGGTTAGGTTACTCAAGAATCGCATCTGAGGCCTGTTATTACAGTGAATTAATGTGAAAACAACTTCGATTTAAGACGGTAATACAGTAAATGAAAGCTCATCAGCGTATCTTTCGATTCTCCTATTGAAATTTCATTTCGTATTCAACAGTAAACTATACTAGATTTTCCATGAGTTCTTCAAAATTATTGTCATAGTCAAAAATTTTGAATTAGTTTTTGATAAACCTACATCCTTAGTAGAATTTCTACCCAAAAATATCGAAATGAGATAAAACATTTAGACTTGTGTAGAAAAATATGCATAGTAGACCAATATTAACTGTCTTTATGTCACATTTAATATAAAACATACACTGATTTAAATTCATCGAGTATATACAAATATTCCTAAGCCAAAAAAAAAGAATATTGTTGCAAATTATCTAAGCAGTTAATTGCCGCTATAATCATAAAAATGATTCGGTGTCTTGGCCGCCAAAAATGGCTTTCAAAAGCTTTAGTTCGCTCTTGTGGGGCAGCAGTGATCGAGACTGAATCTAATCAAACAAAGATCTCCATGGAGCAAACGAAAGGCACTAAAATAAAAGACGAATCCAAGCCTAGCGAACGCTATTTAAAATTCAAGGAGAAACTGCGATCCAGCGCACCCGTTATAGCCGTACCAAAAGGAATGCCACATCCGGCTCATGAAAAGGAGCCACTGATGCCGTGGCCAAACAATACCAATCCGTACACAGGTGAAATTGGTGGACCGCGCGGACCAGAGCCCACGCGCTATGGTGACTGGGAAAGCAAGGGCCGGGTTACAGATTTCTAAAAATGTAAGACTCCCAGAAATGTGTCCTCTAATCAGGGGGCTCACGAACTTTGATTTATTGACCGTGTTAACAATAGAAGCACTCGCTATTTCTTACACTCTAGGTTAAACATCTTACGGAACGGTAGCCGGGAGATTGTTCAACCTTTATCATTGTTGTTTGCTGTTCTGCGAAGGCATTACATAAATTTCAGTCTTGTGGTTTTCAGAATTTATGTTGCACCAACAATAAAATATAAATTGAAAGCCTCTATTGGATGCTCTGCAAGAGAAAGGGTTCTCGGAATAGAGTACACGATGCAGCTCCCATTATTTATTATGGTTCAGGGGCAGAGGATCGTGCCTAAGTCGAAATATTTCGAGTGTGCACGACGAGTCGATTCATTTGAAATCGAGGCGACAGTTTACGTGATATTTATTTGAAAAGTGTTGTCTTTTCTAATTTTGTAGCCGGGCCTCGTACTTTGCTAGAAGTCGAAAGGCGTTTTAAAATGTCGTAAATTGTTTGGGACAGTCTGGAAAAAATTTGTGGTGGGCATAGAAATTTGGGAAATTCGCAGCTGTTTGTCTGCTCAGTCCCTTTGACATTTTTGTGGTGTTTGCACTGATTAGTTGGTTACACAAATAGAAAGGCCCCACAAGCAAATGTATCACAAAAAAAAAAAAAACAACAACCAATTTAGCAGATCAGTCCAACACGGTCTGTTAGCTGTAAAACTGTAACCTCGAAGCAGTCATTTTCAAACTTTCGAAAATACCAACAAGAGGTCATAAGTATACGAGTTACATATCTATATATATGACGATTTGTTTGCAAAGCCCAAGCCGTAGAGCTCCTAGCTCTGAACTTTTCACTGTAGTTACCTTATTTGATGCTAGGAAACTTCACCCGCAAATATGGAGAAAACACAGGAAACTTTTGTGCAAGTTAATTTGAGTGGTGTTTCACACTATGTGGAAAATCTATTCCTCCTTAGTATAAATGGAGGTCGAAAATGGGGACCACGATCTATGCTTGCTTTAAACATATTTCGAAAGCCCAACATAAGTACTTAATGAACACATGTTTCAGCGATTTTGTAAATTTGTAAAGTAAAGATTGTACTTGCTCAGTATTCTTAAACATTAAATAAGTACAAAATTGTGAAGCTTGGTCAAGGGAGCGCATCTGGTTCGGTAGGAGGTTCCAGGTATTCCCTAGTTACTTGTTCTAACCCTTTTACTTGTTTTAACTCGACTAACATTTACAGGCTATATTAACACTTGAATGGGAATAATTCGGAACTGCTGGGTATAATCAATATTAATTTGTAACATTTTATCGAGTTGTTGTCTACGTTGGCCTTTTAGCAAAATGACACAGTTATTTAATAAGGTAGTATAAGACCCTCTCAAAAATGTGTAATGAGCTGCGCAGAGAGATATCTTAAGTAGGCGCGAAATTGGTCGTAAAATGATACAAATGCGAGTACTAGATGTGGATGCAGGCTGAGGAACCTATGCTGCCTGGGGCGCTCCACATTGGGCAGCGAACCGGAAAAAATCAAAGGCAAAACAATGATCAAAGCTGTCATTACAGATCTCGGGGCGGTCTTTGATCTCGCACCGCAATATGGCAGAGGCCGTGCATAGTTTAATGTTTTGTTTTTTATTTGATTTTTACTTTGTTCTATCAATCAGCGCCTAGTACTTTGCGACGCAGCACAGCATGAGCCTGTCAGAGATAGGGTTTGGGTTCGGGTTCGGGAGCCACATAAAATGATCTTGAGAACTGGTATGCGCGTTCTTTTCATTTAATTTTCACGTAATAAAAACACATTAACAACAACAATAACAACAAGTCCAAAGAAACAGCACGTTAATTTCGTTTAAAAATAAAAATAAAATAGACGAAATAATTGTTGCCAGCATCTGAAATCGCATTTGACGGATGACTTTGTGAGCCAGTTGAACCAATATATACATACATGTATAGAGAGAATTCTCCCAGTAGTATGCATAGTTGAGTAACATCTCGAATTCGTTGTCGAGAGTAACATTTATTTTCGGGTTTATATAGAGCATATTGTCGATTTCCTGGAAGTAATGCGGAATTTTCTTGTTGAGCTAAATTTGTTTGATTGTGATTGATCTTTGATCGCGCAGTAAATAGATTCAGCAGATGTTTGTTTGCGAGATGCGAGAATGTTTGTTATGCATTAGCTCACCTGACATAGAGTAAAGACAATACCCAGAGTTTCCAAAGACACAAAGAACAAAATTCAAATATACTAAGTAAATAATAAATAATAATACTTAAGAAATGGAACATAGCGAACCTATTTACCATTTGCCGTAGATTAATGAGGCTTATTTCCGTTTAATCCCGTATCCTTTTGGGTTCTTAATGGGCTTAACAAACACCACGTCCGTATCTGTTCGTTCCGTTGATTTGAGACAGTAAATCTATTAAATTCCAAAGTCACGCAGCGACCATTAGATGCACATATTCAGGACACGAAACGTATGCACATCTCAGGGACCCTGCTCTGTTATCCTCACCATCCTCTTTCCGTTCCGGTCATTGTCCGTTAATTTCACAAATTTTGTGGTCATTGGTAATTTTTTGTTTGGCTTGTATTTGCTTGGTGTTCAACCATCATCATAGACGCGTATAAAGCGCACACCAAACATGACATGCGAATTTTTGGGCTGTGTCCAAAACGAAAGTGATAAACGATACACTGAGTAACTAAAACTAGGAGAGCGCATGAGGGATGGGTGCGGGGTGGCGGGATGGCGGGATGGCTAGCCAAATGGCAGCTTGGCAGCCTGACACTTGGATATGCGCACAAATAACACTTAACACAATAACAAACAAACTTTTCGACTAATGACAGTCCAAGTAGCAAACAATTTATCCAATACCAGGCAGCATGTCCTTTTTGCGCCTTCGCCTGCGTCTCTGCATGGCTATGTAGTACGCTGCCAAGTCATTAATCTTATTTCGTTTTGGTCGCTCGACGGCAGGAGGCCAGTCCATGCAGTCCGGGCGCAAGCCTCCGTCGTCGGCGTCGTCGTCGTCCTTATCCTTTCAAGCGTGAACACATGCGATTACGCGTGGTGTGTGTGCCAGTTTCCGCATTTTCCTGTGCCAGGCGGCTGCCATGATTAAGTGCCATTTTGAAAAGTACTAAAATCCGGTTGGTCATGGCCCACACTTTAACTCCCCAGTCGCTCGCCAATGTCAAAGTGTCAATGATAAATGTTATACGCCTCGATAAGACGCTGAGCAACAGCAGAACCATCCGCACCGCCAACATCCTCACCCGGCATTAGCACCCGTAACCTGACTCAGACCAATCCCTTGCCAGAATCTGAAAAATATTGCACGTGGACAAAGCCTTGCTGGCGAAATCAGTGCACGTTCACACAATAACATAATAGTTGGCAATATATTGTAGATTTTCCGTCTACCCATTGCCACATACAACGACCATTTCCTCTTACCCCAGCCTCCTGCAGAGTCTGCTGTGGTGAGGTGAAGCAAGCGCGTAATATTTCTTATTTTTCCGCATTTCTGTGGGTTTTGGCCCTCGCCTTTCGAACTGTTTGGGTAGCTTTACGTGTGAAATATTATTTGGCAATGACATGACACAATGTGCATTCGATTGTTCTCTTCCCACTGGCACTTTGTTCGGATGGTTTATGAGTTAGGTACGAAAAGAGAGTTGTGAGTTACAGCCAGCTACTCATGTATCATAGATCAAGTAGTTGCTTCTTTTATCTCAGACAGGGAAAATATTAGCAATACTTTAGAATGACAATTGGGCATCTCAATTATTCGCTGAGTAATTTGTACACATTTTGCAGCTTCGATTGGAATTTTGCATACACGCAATGCTCCGACTGGAACATACAAATGTTTTATTCAGTCTAATTAATAACACTTTAAATCAATCCGTTATTAACTATTCCTAAGTTTGCAAAGAACAGCGGAAGTGCAATAAATTCATTAGCGTAAATTTCAAAATAGAGATGAACATAAAAAAAACAAAACTAAAGCAACAAACAAGAACGAGAAAACAAACTGAAGCGAACAGGAAACGCAGACATGGCCACAATATACAACAATTTACAACCTAAATCAAATGCAGTTGAATGGCCAACACAGACGCCATAAATCACTGGCCAGTTGAGCCGTAGACGGACACGGATGTGGATGTGGATGTGGATGTGGCTGTGGACATGGCAGCGTTGAGCACCATGTGCAGAGTCCGAAACATCCAATATTTTAGTAACTCGCCCGAAAGATTCGAGCGTCGAGCGCACGAAGGAGCCCAAATGCAATATGTTATCAAATAAAAATGTTACAAGCGTCGACAGGAATGAGCACGAGGGCCAAACAGAAGAAATGTGTTGCACAAATTTATTAGAAACCCTAACTAACGAGCATATCCTTGCCGGGGGTAGGTAATAGTAATGCCAGCGGTAGTGTGGTAGTTGTTCTAGCAGCAGCGTCAATATCGATGTGGGTCGGAAAATCCGAGTGATGTGTCAAATGTTAAGACATTACAAAGCACTAAAGGCAAGGACATGGCAATAGCAACAGGAAAACAAATCGAACGTGTGCCCAATGCCATCAATCTTTTGTTTTTATTGCCAAGCAGCGGCATTGGCAGCGGCAGCGACATCAAACTCGTCCGAGTGCTCGTTTCCCTTCAAGTCCCCCTTGAGCATTTCTTATGAACGGCCAGGACATGTGCTGCCTGGGTGCCCGGCTATGCTTGTTGTGTGCCCGACATTAACTCGACAGGATAACAAATCTGTTAAATGTGACAAACGAGCAGTGCGGTCTTTGACAGCCTTGTAAGTTACAGGCGGGCAGCCTCGCAGGCGGGACGACGGTCAGGCTAAGAGGCAGGCAGACGTCTTAGAGTCAAGTTTCCTGCCAGTCTCCCCTGTTGTGAGAGTATGTGTCATTTTTCATTGACCTCTCTTTTGCCAGCTGAAAGGTGAGGTCCTTCGCCTTTATTGCATAGGCGTGTAGGTGCCTTCGAAAGTGCCTAACGATGATTTCATGGTGGTCAAACTGTAATAAATTTTTATTGTCGCCTATTATTGACCGATACTGAATAGTCTCCGGTAATTTATGGCCACCTTCCTAGCCGGCTGCAAAACGACTTCCACAGATTTTCGATGCTATGACATAGAATCCAGAATCCCGAATCCGTTTCAATTTCTCCTTTAAATGTCTCCGTAT